CATTTTTCAAATAAAAATTTTTTCTTATTGATCTGAAAATCAGAAGAGGTTTCGTTTTGAGTTGCTGTCAGATTGTTAAACAAAAAAGTTATGTGTATTTTTATACAGTTTAGGTAAATAACTGGTTTATTCTGTACATAACATTAATTGCATTGGCTTTAATATAGCATAGGTTTGGTATTCTGAGTTGGCAAATGCCTAATATTAAAACCCAGAACAAAATGCCTTGTTTTGGACGTCACAATCCCAGTGAATTAATCAATGATCCAAATAAAGAAAGGATCTCTCCTCTCAAATTGTGTGTTAAAATGGCTTTCGTCTCACCAACAGAACTCAAAACAAGAAAATTAGGTACAGATTGACAGACAGTTGCTGCTAGAAGAGCGTTCAGATGGACGACATGGAGAAAAAGTCTGAGGACAAATTCTGTGAGCAGATCAGCTATTTGCATTGTGGGATGATAAAAATAATTTCCGTATGCTGCTGCGTCTGAAAGTTAGGGCATATGAGGTCACAATAAAAGCCGTGAGGCCTGCGTTTCAATAAAAGCAACTCGTGTTTGTGTCGGGTTACACAATTTTCAAGCTCAAGCGCAAATATAGATCTAAATACAGTAACAAACCTTATTCGCCTGCAGTCTGAGAGGGGTCTGAAGTATGTTGATGCTCAGAATTAACCCCAGCAAGTGTTTGAGGTTGTGCTGTGAAGAGTCTTGGTCGAGGTCATGGTGGTGGATCAGCTTCAGTCACAGTAGCTTTAGTTGGAACTGGATGAAAAAGGTTTTTACTTTGCAGAATGCTCGGCTTCTCCCCCTCCAAATATGGGTTGCAGTTCGCCCTGGTGTTGTTTTGTGTGTTTGTTGTGTTTTTATTTTTACATTTCTTCATCATTATGTTTAAGGCCTCCTCAGTTTTTACACTGGTGAATATCAGAGAATTGACTGTTTACCCTCTGTGTTTCATGAATGTCACCTTGAATAAAGGTTGGTCACGCAATTCCAGACTTTACTTTCATTGCAGACATTTTTAATATTTCTAAATACATAAGGAACATCAGAAGTGTTTTTTTTGTTTGTTTTTTTTGTCCGCCTAATTTAAAGATTAGGTATCAGTGTTGTCTTTTTTTCTTTTGTTAGAAACGAGGATCATTTGAAATACGATGACATGACATGACATGATCATCTTTGAACTACCTAGGAGAAAAAGTTGTTTGGATCTCCAGTCAAGGCTTGGCCCTGTTATGTTAATGTCAAAGAAAGAAAATTAGAGAAGTCTGCAGAGTCCTCGAAGGACCTTGTGCAAGAAAAATGACAGATTTGCTTAAGTTTCACCTCAACGGAGGGGGGGTTGAAGGTCACAGCGAGAGAAGGCTGAATCAACATTTGGTGTTTCTTTTTGACCCGCTTTCTTTTATCTCCTCTTCTCCATGTCCTGAAAGACAGTATTTTTATGAATTATTTATCCATGTTGGAAAATGTTAAACTTGTGATGTCCTTGTCCTGCGTCTTATCTCCAAGGGCATCATAAAAAGCTGCAAAGGGGAAAAAATACATGAAAGTAACAGACGGTATGGTCATAAAATAGCCTCCCACAGCATTTAATTCCTACTACATGCAAATGTAATAGGAGAAAAGATCTCTCTCTCTCTGATATTGGATGTGTTTGGCTCTCATTGCATGTCTTCTCTATCATTTACAATAGATACAGTAGAGATGTAGAGATAAGTAATGTAAACATACACTGTTTAAGCAGATCTGATACACTGGGTAAAATACGATAGATGTAAATGTATGTACATAAATAGCAGACAAACTTGCTTTAATCTTTTTCATCATTAACACTCGTCAGGTCATACCACCAATTTATACTCCCGTACTGCACACATGAGGATGTTCTCATCCACTGCATATTACTTTATTTGTTTTGGTAGCTACAGTAGTTTTGATGGAGTATATGGAGGTGATAAAAATTGTCTCAGATAATCATAAGATGTCCAAATCTTGTGCAAAGTTTTGGTCCACTGACTCTAATGAAACAGAGGAAATTTTAACTGCCAAAAAAGTGCAACAACCAACATATGCAGAGTATAGATCAAACACTGAGGCTAAGATTCATATTCACACCAAATGATGTCAAATAATATTAATGAATATATATCATTTGGACAAAACATTGACTGAAATCTGTGTAAACTTTGGCCAGCTTGTTGCCATTACATTTAATACGTTTTGCTATATTTAGTTTATTTTAAAGTTGGACATTTATTCTGATAATCTCACACCCCAATTAGCAGTGCTCTTGTTTTAATTGAAGTATTAATTAAAGAAAACCTCTTGGGCATTTCAGCGGTAGTGAATATCTTCACGTCAGAATTCAATGGGCCTAAAATTGTTCTTTTCACACATGAAATCCAGTGGTAGTTGTCCTCAATCAGTCAAATCCACATGTATGACCTATGCTTTATGTAGCAAAGTGGCGAAAGGATTATGTTTGCTTAAATATGCATGTAGTGCTATCCACACACCTATAACTAATCTTTGACATATCTGACCTAATGGATGGACCGGTGAATGCAGGATGGTAAACTGTTTGATACGTTGAAGCATATCGGCATGTAATTTTTGTTAACAATAACAACAGCAACAAATGCATCCTAAATGTCAAAGAAATGCACAAATCTTTTATAATGGGGCAAAAAAAAAATGTTGCAGACAATATTTCCAAACTAGCTCTGAGCAATAACAGTTATGGGAAGAGAAAATAGCACATCGCCCCGTGATAGTAAACATACTCCTCTTTTATTATGATGATTATTTTCTCCCTAATGATAGTGCACATTATGAGACTTTTCATCCTGTCTTCAAGCACCGGTTCTACTAGTGAGCACATTGCAGCTAAGGCTCTCTCTTCTTCTTTTTTTTTTTTTGCTGCGTTTCTTGCCATTTGTTTGCTAAAAGTATTTGTTTTCAAGATGAATTGCTGCGCTGGCAGGCGAGATGACAGCCTACATGAAGATGATATTGAATTGATTTCTGAAATGTTGCAGAACGGACTAGTTGATGTGTACCACGAGACATGAATAATAAAAATTCTATTAAAAAGCTCTTGAATGGCTGACACTGGAATATTATTTGTGATGATTAATTTTCTTCAGTCATTATAAAAGGGAGTTGGCATCAGATTGCCTCTGACAAAATTGCTTTTCACTCCCTGGTGAATACCCTCAGTATGCTTTTTGAGAGCCTGAAACCATATTTCTCTGTGCAACATTATGTCAAGATAGGCCCTGGAAAAGACACTGCTCGTGTATCACCTTATTAGCACCATAAAATGTTCTCCTGCTTCAACAGCTGGATACTCTGAATTTATTCCATAATGAGAAGTGGGAGATTTGTACAATCCAGGTTTTCTGTTTATATAAACAAAATTGCCACAGTAATTATGGGATTACAAAATAACAACTAAGTGACTCTCTGTGGTGTGTTTTTCCACGTAATAAATTTGATTCACTGTATTTTCTTTTTCTTTTCTTTTTTTTAAGGCGTGCAGGCTGACAGTTTGTTGCTTCAAAGCTGTCAAGATTTCTGAAGCAAATTATTCCGTATAGCAGCTGTTCTTGTCTAACTAATTAATTTGCTCCGTACGATTGTACTGAACGAATTCTTTACACTTTTCCAAGTGCGACAATTTGCATTTCTAATTATTTTTTATTTGCAGCACAAACACTCCGAACTAACTGCTGCAGTTCTGTGTGTGCAAAGGCTGCAAACTCGAGTGTAAACAACACAGATAAACAGGTGCATTTAAAACTAATTAGAGAGTTTCCATATTTTAGTCTGGAACATGTTTGGTAAGCTGTTTCACAAAAGTTTGTTTTTTTTTATTAACTTTGTTTATTCCTGGGAGATAAAAGAGCACAAACAATCTTTCTCATGTTTTCTGCATGTAACAGTTTAAATAAAGACGAACACATTTTAAAGTATAATCCGGCTTTAATTTGAATGCGACGTAGTTCTCTACTTTCTGTTTTGTCAGCAATTATGAAACCACGGCGGAGCAAATTGGAGATACTGTGACCAATTTTCAATTCAGATTTTAGCCAGATGTAATTTCTCCTTAAGCCCCGTAAATGGCAACAAAACACATTTCTTTTCATTTTTGGGTGAATTGAAAATTCGGCTATGAATAGAATATTTCATAACGCAATGATTTCTCAATGAAATAGCCCAAAATCTCTCTTACTGTTCAGAGACGGAGCCCTATAGGTCTCTGTGTCACTGAAAATCTATGAGTACAGTAAATTTCTCCACTTAATGGGACGGATATATCTAGAAATATAATCGTGTTCAAATAAATCACATTATATTTCATTTATTCCTGATCAAAATAGATTGCAGCTCATACTTTTTTGCAAAGACAAAATGTGGCAGTGCCCCATATCACAGGATAATGAATTGTTTCCAACAAAATACCTTTAAAACAAAAAGGAAAAAGCACAGATTTTCTTTTATGTGCAGATTTTTATGTTAGTTATTCCTTCAAGAGCCTCTAGAAATATTTCTATGATTGGTCATTAATTTTTCATAGCACAGCCAGAAGTGATGTCAAATTGCGCGTGTAAAAGAGAGAGAAGCTGGTCTTACACAGCTCTGCAATAAAACAGGATTTCAATAATATTTCAAAACAAAGACCCCATTTCTCACTTAGAAACCATTTCCACACCAGCATTTTGTCATCAGCGCAACCTGTGAGTGCTTCCACATGGTACCATCAGAAATAGATTGAATTTTTTTGTTTTCAACCATCTGATCGGGTAATCACCCAATTCCAGTTTTCAACGCATCTCTGCTTACAATTGTCTATTTGAGTGATCAAATCATTTTCTTTCTGCTCTTGTTCATCTATATTGTGCTCAAAAATGCCTTGGTTGCGAACCTGACAATAAAAAGAACAGGTGCGGGTTTCTCTGAGTTCACTCCCCGCTGTTTTATCTTGTTTCAGAGCTACTCTAGTCAGGGCAGAGGCAGCGGCAGCGGCGGCGGCGGTGGAGGCGGAGGCGGAGGAGGAGGAGGAGGAGGAGGCACAGGGGACGAAGACTACGAGATTCCCCCCATCACGCCTCCAAACCACGTCGACCCTTCTCTACTTCACCTCACAGAGCACGAGTCGGGCTACCCCTTCCACTCTCTGCCTCACAACGGCTTGCTCAACACCTACTCCTATCCCGAGCTGCCTGCCCTCATGATGTCCAACATGCTGGGTCAGGACACTCACCTCCTCTCTGGGCCTATGCACTCGGTGAGTTGGCTCCCCTCTCGTTCCCCCCATTCCTCATTGTAGCTGTGGGCCTTTATGCGAGTCAAGAATTGTGCTACAGTTTAGACTCAGACTTTGCGATCAGGGCATTGGAAATCGGCCAGCCAGTCTGAAACACTGACATGTTCCTTTAATGGAAAGTTTGGTCTGTTTGCAAGTCTTGAAGTGATTTAAACAGAAAATTATAAAATCTCCGGCGTTTTATCCAATACTTGAAAATGATGATATAAAAAAAAAAAGTTGAAGGCCAAAGAAGAAGATTAGATAAACTCTGTAAACTGTACCCTGCTAATCACAGAGAGACCCGCTTCCTCCTTAGAGCGCTGACCTTGACAGTGGACCTTCTCTAATTCATACCCAGAAAAACAGGAGAAATAACACTCCGCTCTATCTACATGTTTTATCTGGATACCGGGTTTCGACCCAAACATCTTGATGAGAATGCGGGATATCCCACGTCAGCTACTTTTTCTTTTCAAAGAGATTCAGAGTGTACTCGCTACCCGCCTCAGCACCAGCACCGCCGCCGACACCAGCCCTACCAGTGCAGCGACTATCTTTTATGTTAAACATGCCCCTGACCGAACATGTAAACACCTCTGGCGAACACGTTCAAAAGCTTTAATCATGGAATCGAACCAGATGAATTATAAATGGCCCCGGTGGTGAATTATTCAGCGTTATATACTTTCATCTGACATAAATATTACTTATTTCTCTCTCCCCTCTGTGATGAATATTTATGCCTTAATGTGAGCATCCCTGGCATTTATCCTCTGTTAATCAGATCTTATGTGATTTTCAGAATCAAACTGCATAAATTGAAAACTCTTCTTTTTTTTCTCTTTTTCTGTGGGTGGTGGTGAAGGTCTTTAGGTTTAGGCCATTGACTACCGTATCAATTAAATCCCTAGCTCATGTGAGTATGTATATAGTCGGTTTTAAAATCAAAGGAAGGTGACTAAAAAGGTTGAATTGATAGAAAAGTGCATGTGTAGATACATCCACCATTGCAGCTTTAATCTCATGTCTGTGGTTATTGTTCTTCACCACGCTCTTGAGCCTCGATCTTTTTTAAAAAGGATTTTAAAAATATATGCATATATCGTTACCTATCCTCCTATTAACTCTGACCGGCTTCCCTGTCCCCAATGAAGATAATCATCAGCGCAGAATGATGCTGCCACCACCACAGGTGTCACAGTGAGGATGTGGTGTTCATGGTACTTCAGGTTTTTTGCCATATTTAATGTTTTGATTGAAGCCAGAAAAGTTCTGGTCGATTTTTTCTTTTTTCCTCGAGGGAAGACTCCTAATGGCATTTTGACACACTGGGGGTATCCAAGTAAAATAGGCTCGGTGCAAACACTTGTCAGTATTTTTGAACAACAAACAAACAAATCAAAAGGAAAGCATCCATCCTTCTTCAGCTTCAATTTTGTCTTACGTAATTTCAGATAATGCGTAACAACGCGCCCCATTTTGGCAAATAACTCTTTGAAGGCAAACACGGAGGGAGCAGCCACTTCCTAAACAGCTTTTGTTTCACCTTTGCAATTATTTATTTCCAAATAGCCCTTCAGGGTAATGTTCCATTTTCTTATTTCACACCCCCTTTTCTCATAAATGAACCGTCATCGCCATAAATCACTGCACAAACAGAGACTTGCACACACTGAGAAAAGGTCCAGAGATTTATGTAACACATTCATGTTTCCCACTTCCACATTTTAGTACTACTCTTGCAGAGGCTGGCTAATAATAGCTGCTATTAATATTTCCTGTTGCCTAGCAACCACGGCAAGTAATAGCTTACTCTGGAAAAATAGATGACCGATAAGGAAGAAGGAGGGGCTGCGGAGGGCGGTGGGGGGTTCGATTCATTTATTATCTCCCGGGACAAGAGGAGCTTATTTCTGAGGCTGAGGAATTGGAAACTGGGCTGTATATTGAGAAATATTTTAAGGCAATTGGAGATGACGTTATTTTCATTTTGCTTCCATTAGGGATGTTTCATTTGATGTTTCCCCAGCAAAGTCAATTAACCTTAATTTCATACTGATAAAGGCATAATAAGGAAGATTGAATTTATGTCTGCTGCATGCTTAAAGAATAATGAGTGGGGGATGGAAATAGGCTCTCAATGAAACCGGAGGTCAGAAATGAAGCAAAAAGCCCCTCTCCTCTCTTGGTATTGACTAAAGCGTACAATGAACTCGGAAAATTGGAGGAGATAGCTGGAAAACCCAAACCCTAATCATTCGGCAGACTTCTTTTACTGATGCAAAAAAAGAAAAGAGAAAAAGACTGAAAATAAAGCAAATGAAAAGTCGACAGCGTTACCTTAAGGATACACGTCTCTTCAATAGCAGCTATCCTTCAGCACACATTTAAAAGCCTCCTACAAGTACAAGCTCAGCTGGAGCAACAGATACGCTTCATCTCATGGGATGTTGTTGCTGGTTTTTGTACAACATTTAGCCTGAGGCTAAAGCTCTGTAAACTTCACCCTGCTTTGGGATTCTCTTTTTCAGCATGCATCGATCCCACAGCAAACAGAGTTAAATCATTACAGGATTGAGAGCATTGGATTGACTATCATGCTACATGGACATATAGATATAGTTGTGTGTGCATGCATGGTGCGTGTGCGTGTGTGTGTGTGTGGGGTGTGTGTGTGTGTGTGTTTGGCGTTGTAGCTTTTAATGTTTCTGCTGGCTTAGCGGTGACAAAACGACAAGACATAGAGGAAGGAGATGTGTATTCTTTGCTGTTGCCAGTCAAATTTTCTGCTTTTTGTAAATTTATGACTCCACAAAGAGGGAAAATATTGACCCATTACAAATGCAACATGGAGACACAGGTGCTTCCCATTAAATGACAAAATTACTAGCAGGAGTTAATTTATTTCTGTGATACAAATCAAAACACAAAGCTTATGTATAGATACATTTTTCAAGCATTTTCTTCTGTTCATTCTGGCATTTGTGCACAGAGTGATATGTCCAAACTAATAAATAGTTGAGTGGAAGGAAAACAAAAAAGAGTCCTCTTCTCAGATAAACATACATTTAGCAGTTTGTTTGTTTGTTTTTTTAATCAAGACTCCTGACAAGAGGAAGAGTGGAGTGGTACAGAATTCGAGTTGCTTCAGGTCCAGTGTGAAGTTTCCAGAGTAAGTGAGGATTTAGAAAGCCGATGCATCTGATAGTGGTGGTCTGTGCTTTATCAAGTCTAAAATTAGCACAGCAATTTATCAAGAAATGTTGGAGCACTTCACCCTTCCCTTTGCTATTCAGCTGTATGGAGCTGTATGCATTGATGGAGCAATTCATGCAAAATGAGTTATAGCTCATTTTGCATGAAAGCATAATTATTACAAAATGCTTGAAGTATGTCCCCTGCAATTATTAAATGCATTAAAAAAATTTACCATTTAAGTTTAATTGCAGAAATAGATTTACATTTTGATTAAGTCCTAATTACTTAAGAAGCACCTGTGTTGTATGTGGGTTCATTTTTTTTTTTTTTCTGTGATTCTTTTTGTTGCGGTTCCGTCGTTTTCTTTACAATTCTCGCTGCCAGTTTTTGAGCTTTTCAAGAGCTCAAAATTGCAGGAGTGCAACAAGGTGGAGCCTCGGTGCTGGCATTTTAGATTATAGAGCTGTCTGTCAGAGACGCGTCTCCGTTTTCCAAAATGCTGACCTGTTCTGTCAGCCTCTCTGAACCGAAGCAGAAAGAGCCAAGTCCTGTATGACTGGCTGCTGTGAAATGTAGCAGCCTGTTGTGCAAGTACTCGCTGCCAAGGGAGAATTCCCGTCTCGCCCGCAGCTTTCAGTGTTTCTGTCATCTTCGGTGCCGGGGTAAAAGGTGTCACCCAGGGGTCTCATGTTCAACAAGTCGCCCTGTCGTTCAGGTTCGCGCAGCGGTGCACGAGGAGGAGGAGCTTCCAGCCCCATTGGGGAAAAAAAAAAAGTAGAAATAAATATCAGAGAGCCCTCGCCAGCTGGCACTAATAAGATTTTGAGGAGCAGTTAGTAGAAACAGCCCAAATGTGGAACCTTGAGGGGTGCCAGTGTGTTAAATATTGAACCAGTGAACCAGCCCCTTTCTCGTTACGATCATAAGGAGGCTGGTTGGAGCTGGAAGGGGGGGAGAAACCCCTGCTGCCTAAAAAGCGGCTGTCAGTTTTTATAAGTATATGGTTTAAATTAACTCGGATGACTCCTGGTGGGGATTTTGTTTTGAAATATTTGGTTCTAAATGGATATTCTTGGCAGGGTGATGTCTGTCTAACATCTCCTTAATAAGAGACTCTTAACATCCTGCTGTGTTTGAAAAAAACCCCAACAAATTCAGCCAATTCTAGGATACGTAACACAAGCAATAATCATAACTGGTTTGGATATTGGTTTGGTACATAAGTTTTTGATTCATGCGGTATCTTATAAATAAGGTTAAGTCGATCTCATAAAGCGCTTGTCCCTGTCTATATTATAGTTTTTTTTTGTGAAAGTAACAAAAGGAAGTTGTTCCCGAGTCGCCATGTAATTGTTGTAACGATTGTGTGAACAGAATCAACTAAGATTTGTTGTTGTTGAACCGTCTGACGAAAAGTCTCATTTCAGCTTCAACCCCGTTGGTAACTGCGTGATCTGACAATGTATTTGCACAATTTGTGCAGCAAGTTGTGCTTATTACGTGCGATGATCTCTGATTGCTTATCCAATTGGTCACATATTTACTTCATATTCCAGATGATGACAAATCCAATGGCCTTTATTTATAAATTAAACCAATGAGAAATGCCCAAAAGGTTTTTAAGTCAGTGCAGCATATAAAATAATTGTTCCAGTTTTCCTATTGTAGCTGGACTACTAAATGTTGTTGTTCTCCTTCTTTCTAAAGTATAATTGAAAGAGCAATCTTTTCCACTGCAGGCTTTAGACAGATCCCATATGACCTGTTTGCTCTGCTGCCTC